AAAATAGAAATCACTTAACTTATCTTAGTTTTTTTTTTAATGGGTGATCAGTCTGTAAACTGGTGGTAGGTGATGGAGGTGGTCCTGAGTAACAGTAATGATTACATAGCTCTCAGTAAGCAATGAAAGTTGGAGCTTACTTCAGGGCCAATCCAGCTTAGCTGAATGTGGGCAGAGGAGCTTTTGAGGGGGAAGGAAGAAAATATGAATACATTAAATGTAGTGGAATTACAGGTACCCCAGAACTGAAGACAGAAAGGTGACATTTTGAACATGCAAACTGAAATTTGGAGGGGGGTGGAATGGAAATGAATAAAAGGCATCAAATAAGCACAAGCAAGTGTTGGTGGAAGGACTAGAAGAGAAGATTGTGAAAAATGAGAGAAACTAAATAGGACAAATAATAATAAACAGAGTAGGCATTGCTGGAAAACAAAAAATAATAAGGAACAAATCAATCACACAGAAAGCCCTACAAGTGAACTGAGTGGAATTACCTTACATGGAACTCTCCTGGAAGTTTGTGAATACAATGAAGTTAACATGAACCAGAAAGAAAAGTGTTAAGTTGTGGGTGAACATATCAGACGACACAGCGATTCTCCAAACAGCTCTTGTTTATTCACAGGTCAGAACAGAACTGAACTGAAGGGTTCAGCCAGCCTGCTTATATAGAGCTCCAGTACAACGTAACTGTAACAACTTTCTGTAACTATCCAATCACTGAACCTCACTTTCGATCCCTTATTTGCATATGTGGACCTGAGTGAAAACTATCTACAGTATCCCCCTGCTGGCCCAGGGTGAGAACTTCAGTACATAACAAAAAGAGCGGGATGAAAACAATTTGAGTGAAGCGTTGGTTTTCTATTGTTTGAAAGGAAAGAGAAAATGATTGGGGAGGATACCATGAGTCCCAGAGCTCTTCCAGGGCTCTTTCTTGTACAGAGGTCACAAAAGAAAAGCAAACACTTGAGCATCCCTCTCCTAAATTGCTGTGGTTGGAGTGCCCTCAGAAAATCATTCAATGTGATTAAAACCTAGACCTGTCAGTCAAAATGAAAGATTCTCCAACCTCTCTGCTCTGTTCTGACTTAGGGCTTGTCCACACATATTCTAGCCTGGCCACTTTCCCCTAGGGAAAACCTGCTCTTCACTGCTGAATCGGAGCAATGGTCAATGGGGTTTTCTGCAGACTGATGTTTGCTCAGTTTCAGCCATAAAGAGTGGATGTTCCTAAGGGAAGTGGCAGGGAAGCAGAAATCCACTAGGACACAAGCTTTCTAGGGGTGCAGAAGTGTGGACAACCCCTCAAGCACAGAGCATTTTCCTAGTGGCCTTCGTTTTGCTTTTTGGAAAGAAAAAGAAATATTCAGAAGTCACCTTATTTTAAATGGGAAATGGGGAGGCACCCCAGCCCACAGAATGACTCGTAGATTTAGGGAGTCGTTGATCTATCTCAAGACATCTTGTGAGCAGTGAAATCCAACTCAGGCATGTGAAAACCTCACCCACATCCCTTTATTCACCTCATAATTCAGGTTGCACTCAGAGCCAAAACAAACGATAAAATCTATGTCTAGATCTATAGATCTGAAATGGGTTAATCCGCAACTTCTGCTGGTGCCTCTGGGCAAAGTGAGGTGGCAGGTGGCTCAGGTCTCTCCCACATTGTGCTTTGTAATGTGTTCAGAGAGCCTGTAAGGAAAGGAATGCAGCATTTTAAAAAAATGGATGGGAAAGGGCAGGAAGTATCGGGCCCACCAAGAAAGACCCTGGGCTCAGGCCCCCTAAGTCATCCCACTCACAGCCATTGTCTTCTTGGTACATCAGCTTCCAAGTTCAAAAATACTTCCAATTTCTCACCTCTTCCAAATAAGCTCAAATGGGTCCATTTTGTTTTGCTCCTGCTCAGGTTTCCAGGAGTCTCTAATTTGCACGTTTATCCATTTCAGACTTCTACCATAGCAAGGTATGGGGCACTTTAGAAAACAACAACAGGGGAGTACCTCAGGGCTGCAGCTATGGGGGTGGGGGGGCTAGCCAGGTATTTTGTCCCAGGTGAAGCCTCCAAGAGGGGTGCCATTAAGGCTCCCAGATGGTGTGTGTACACAAGAGTGTGTGTGTGTGTGCGCGCGCACACACACACACACCCCCAAACTGGGTCTTTGACCCAGGTGAAATGAAGATTAGTTTCAGCCCTGGAGTACTTTTGCAGAATGCCTGAATGGATCATAATAGTATCATACAGGTCTATATTCCTGTACTCACTTACCTGGGAGCAAGGCCTATTGAAGTCAATAGGACTTATGAGTAGATATGTACATCATTGTTTTGTTCTAACCTCAGCTTCACTCCTTAGAGTGTGTTGTTTCTTAGGGTCCCAGACCACTGACAAACAATGCAAATCTTGAAAACAGACCCATATTTATTAAAATCAGACATCTTTTATTTATAATTGGCTCTGTTGCATTGTCCTTGCCAGCAGAAGATTAGTGGAAGATGAGTAGGTCCTGGGCTTTTTCCATAAGTGTGGCACTTTTCCTACAGAAATTGGTTCCGGTGGAGCTGTGGGCCAGGCCAGCCCAATGCAAGTTATAGAGAAGAGAGAGGAAGACCTTTCTCATTTTCATCTCATGCTTCATGGACTAAACACAGCATTTTTGCTGCAGTCCTGAATCACTGAGCTGAAAGTGCGCCCCATTTTAACTCAGTTGGACTAATTTCTGAGTAGATACATATAATGCTGCACTGGATATTACGTTCTGGGTAGATCATGCTCAGCTAAAATTGTTTACCTGTATCTTTCTATCATTTGACTAGCTGATTGTTGCTTTTAGTTGTATATTTTACTGACATTTCATTATGGTTTTATTTTAATTTGATTATTTACATAAGCCCCTTTGGGAGTCTGCAGGAAGAAAAACTGGATAGAAGTAAATGGAATAAATACATAAATTTGCATAAAGTTTATTATTGCACACAGTGGAAACTGGGCTTTTTCTTGATGTTTTTTTTTGGGGGGGGGGGAATAAATGTTCCATGTTTCTAAAGCTGGAAAAATACTGTGCATACTAACTATAGAATTATTATTATGGTTATTATTATTACTAATCCCGCATTCTCAGGCCAATGGGCTCTCAACAGAGCAGTATATAATGGATAATAAAATACAATAAAATGAATAATGATACACATACAATTCACCTCGAATAAAAGTGTGTGGGGGGGGGTTAAAATATAGATATATATTTTTAAAATGCAGCAAATGATTGTTTTAAGTTCTCTTTTTCCTACCCCACCCTGTACTATCTGTTGCATATTTCCACAAGAAATACAGGAAGGTAACCCTTTCAGTCACTATAAAGCAAACCTCCCCCCTCTGAAAATAGTCCAGTGAAATCAAAATTTAAGCCATTGGGGAGGGGAAATCAATGTAGGCTTTGGCTACTTTTTAAGATTGCCTCTTCCTATTTTGATTGAAGGAGAAGTGAAGTAGTGGTTTCTGTTCCCAAATGACTTTTGAGAATCTTTGGGGCATCATATGCTTGCAGTGGGTTAAATCCAAAGAGTCCCTTCCTCTGAAAGAAGGATTCCATCTGAGAAAAAGAACATTTGGATCCAACCAATTGTTTCCTTGTGCAAAGGTCTCTGCTTTGCTGACTGAGCCATAACATGCATACAGCTTATATTGGACAGGGCAATGGATTGTTGGAGCCAAGCCTGGACAAAGAAGAAAACACTCTCAAGTTTTAAACTTCCCATGCATCATTTACTACTCCTGTGGGCTGGCTGACAAGCAGCTGCCTGGTGCAATATCTTGTTAATATTCCCCGATATTGAAAAACATCAATTTTCTGAAGCTGGCATGACCTACTCCCACCCTCCTTTTAATAAACATTGAGCTAAATATTTAAACGCATGGCAAAATCTTGTGCAACATACGCACAAGCATATGTCTCAACCTTCCCAGTTTAACAGAGGCTGCTCCTCTTTTGATGTTATGCATGAACTTAACTATTTATATTCTAGATAGCAAAGATTGGTACCCAAAGTGGCATATTGTAATGGACTGGCTGGATGCAGAGGCATACAGGTATGCCCCACGGAGGACCTTAAGGTCCATAAATAGCAACACCCTAGAGGTCCCGGGCCCTAAGGAAGTTATATTAGCCTCAACCAGAGCCAGGGCCTTCTCAACACTGGTGGAACGCTCTGTCTCATGAGACCAGGGCCCTGAGGGATCTGATTTCTTTCCGCAGGGCGTGTAAGACAGAGTTGTTCCACCTGGCCTTTGGCTTAGAATCAGTTTGATTCCCTCCCCCTCTTTCTTTTTCCTTTCTCCTCCTGTGAAGAGGCTGCATCCTAATGTTTTAATGTTGTATTTTAATCTTGTTTTTTAAATTGTATTTAATCAACTTGTTTTTTAAATTGTATTTAATCAACTTGTTTTTATTATTGGTTAGCCGCCCTGAGCCCGGTCTTGGCTGGGGAGGGCGGGGTATAAATAAAATATTATTATTATTATTATCAGTTGGGGAACCCCCAAAGGGAAGAAGGCTCAGAGCCAAGGAATTGGTGGTGGGATGATGATAAGTTGTCAGATGGAGAAGAGGGAGCAGACTGGGTGGAGGAGGCGTCGGAAGCAGAAAAGGCAACAGGGTTTCGTGAGCAGGGAGAGTCTATGGCAGAGAGCAGTCCAGGCCTGGCCTCCTGATCTGTTTGCTTCTTTGAATAAAAAGTTAACTTCACTGATGCCGTGTGAGTTATTACTGAGCTGTTTGAGGCACCCACCCCTGACACGTATAGTGAAAATCCACACAGAAGTAGAACAGAATGAGATTGTGTGTGGTTCAGACAGGGTGGGAGGCTTCTTAGGATATATATATTTAAAAAAACAGCTGGTACTCTGCTAAGAATATATGTAAAATGTGGTTCCCCATCATGTACCATTCCCTCCCTCCGTTCCATGCCTGGATATAATAAGTCACATTCCAGTCTGTAAGGGACATATTTTTATTTATATATATTTTTAGGCTGCAACCCTATTCCCACTTACCTGGAGAAAGGCCACTGATTTCTACAGCAAGGATAAGGAACCCTTTTCAGCTGTGGGCCACATACCTAGCGGCCATATTCCAGTGGTGGGCGGAGCCAGAAGCAAAAGTGGGTGGAGCAAAATTTTACCTTTGTGCAGTAGACAATTTTCTACATATACTCACATACCACCACCACCCCAACCAGACAAGCAAGAGACATCATCAGAATTCAAGGACACATTCTAGCCAGGCAAAAACACTTGGGGTATGTGGCAATGTCAAAGGTGTATGTCTGGCCTGGAGGAAGAGGGTATAGTTTGGGGAGAGGTCCAAGAACCATAGAATCATAGAACTGTAGCATTGGAAGGGACCCTGAGGACCATCTAGTCCAACCCCTTGCAATGCAGGAATATGCAGCTGCCCCATATGGGGACTGAACTGCAACCTTAGCATTAGGAGCACCAACTAAGCTATCCATGCCAGGTGTAAAGACTGCAATGTATCTCACCTTTCAAGGTATAACCCTCACAAGGCAGGTTACAGCAATATATAAACAGAAAACACTGAACAGTATAAACATTGCAAGCAAATCAGTGAAGCAACAAGCAAAACTCTTTTAAAAAACAACAACCCTTCATTTGCATCAGTAGAGGGGGGAAATATTCATGGCGAAGCCTGATAAGCTCTGGGTCTAAGAATAGAGCTATGTCATATTGCCTCCTGTCTTTAGGCAGAAGAATGATGCCACAAGTTGCTTTCTGTGGCTTTAGCCCAATGGCATAATCCAGCGGCTGCATGTGTGCGAGAGCGCAGGTGTGTTGGCAAAAGACAGGCCCATCATCTCTGATTGTATTTGCAGAAGGCAAAAGACCGAAGCACATGTTGACTTATTTTTGTTGTTGATATATTTGCCACCAGGTCTCTCTCTCTCTCTCTTTCTGACATCTATGGCAGGCAATCCAGGTCCCATCTGCATTCAGGTTTCAGCTGACAGGCAACGAGGAAGAAATGCTGCCGAATGAATTAGAGAGGCAGAATTCTGTAAGTATTAATCAAGTTCTCCTCCCTCCCTCCCTCCTCACCACCCCACCCCATAATACACAGTTTAGCTCTGCAAGAAATAAACAGATGGGAAACAGGATACCTCACCAACCCACCTGAGGGGGAGGCAGAATTGAAACCTAATGGATTCCAACAGCAGAAGATTCCCCCTCTCAAATAAAATCAATGCTAGGATGTGGGGTTTCAGGATTTGATTAGACTTCCTAGTTATAAGGAAACATCTAAAAGTGAGAGCAGACTTTAAGAGCTTGGTATGAACTCCTCAAATCTTATTCAAGGACATCAGAAAGGTCCATGTAGAACCAGAGATAAAACTTTTCTAGGATTAAGATATCAAATGTTTACCAATCTGCTCATTCCCAGTGACTCCAATTTTACAGGCAGAGACATGAAGGCTGAGGTGCAACTCAATGGCAGAGAAGTGATTAGAGTCCACATTTCATAAGCTAAATCTGCCACTAGTTGATACCTGAACATTTCCTACAAATAAGATGAAGACTATGCTGTATAATAACAATTGGGAAGCTCACACTGGATTCTGAAGCAGGAAAGAGCTCTGGAGTGGAGGCAGACCAATCCATGGAGGTTGGTCCACAGAGAAAGCTCGTTCAGCAAATGGACTTTTCATGTGAAATAGCCACTGTGGAAGCACAGAGCACATGTGTTTACATCACATGGTTTCTCATCACAACTGTGTGTGTGATCAACTTCCATGGAACCTCCTAGGTAAATTAGTGGTAAATCCTGTCTTTGATGGCACATTTGCGGGTCATCAATTTAAGGTACAGTTAAGGAGCAACTAAAAGGGACGCAGATGGCACTGTGGGTTAAACCACAGAGCCTAAGACTTGCTGATCAGAAGGTCAGTGGTTCGAATCCCCACGACGGGGTGAGCTCCCATTGCTCAGTCCCTGCTGCTGCCAACCTAGCAGTTTGAAAGCGCGTCAAAGTGCAAGTAGATAAATACCTCCGGCGGGAAGGTAAATAGCGTTTCCGTGCGCTGCTCTGGTTCGCCAGAAGTGGCTTAGTCATGCTGGCCACATGACCCGGAAGCTGTATGCCAGCTCCCTCGGCCAGTAAAGCGAGATGAGCGCCGCAACCCCAGTCGGCCATGACTGGACCTAATGGTCAGGGGTCCCTTTACCTTTACCTAAGGAGCAACTAGCATCCTCATGTGAACTAGCCCACAGAAGCAATTTCCAGTGCTTTCCACATGGTGCTCAAATCTTTACAAAGTCAGGATGCATCTTCACAAGCACACTTGGATGACTGCAACTAACCATGACAGAGATTCTGCATCACTTTCAACAAAAATCCCTTTTCACTGGATGAAGTTCACGTAAGAAACAGTGATGTACATGAATGTGCACTGTGAAACATTCATTTTTCTTCTTCAGTGGATGGAGGTTTCTTTAATGAATGGTGGAGCTTTATAGCAGGCTCTGAGATGGGGAAGTTAAACATTTATGTATTCCTGACACTCAAGTGTATTTCTGTGTATAAGAATTCCTTTGAATTGTGAAGTTCTCTGTGGCAAAACTGAACTCTAGCTCACATGTACAGCACTAGATTACTTACTTGATGTACTTGTAGCTGAATATGTGAACTGCCTCCCTTAAACAGCACTGTATTTTAGGGGATATAAAACCTCTGTGCTGTTCCATCTGTGACGGCTTTTAAAGTTTTCACATATGTAGGGTGTCACTTGATATTGCAGTCATCACATGATCAAAGGTGCCACACGCACTCACCACCACATAAGTTTCTCCAGACCTTCCAGCAATTCTCCTCCCCCCGCTTCTCCCATAATCGTGCCAATAAAGAAAAGCTGTACATGAGTTGGTTTTAAGCAAGCGTGCTATCTGTTCATTTAATATTAACAAATTGAAATGAATTATTTTAATGCCAATTAACTTGTAACTGTCCCTTATTAATAGTGATTTAGATGAATACTTCTTGGAAGTAAGAATGGTAGGCTCTAGGAAACGTGCCTGGAATAGAGAACACATAGACAGCCAGTTTTTATTTTTAAGTGGTGATGAGATGTTATTACTGTTTTATATCAGTTCTATATGGGTCTGCAGCTCAAGATTCCTATCTAACCAATAACATTATTACATTCAAAATATTGGGGGTGGGCCCTACCTGCTATTGCCCCCATCATTCATCAGATGAATTTAACTGTACATTAGAAGCAGGCATTTAAATATACTTCGACTGTTCCCTATCCTCTGTTGCATTTTCTACGCTCCATGGATTCCCTCTCAAAATACAGACAATCGCTTTAATTTCAATTAGAAATATCCCACCCAATCAACTTACAGGAGAATCTGCCAATGCAGAACCAAAACAACAACAACAACAACAACACACACACACACACACACACACACACCCTTCCAAGAGACAGGTTGCACTGCGAATGTGTGCCTGGGGAAGGGTTTTTATTTTATTTTACTTTTTTGTAACCTTCATTTGCAATTCTAATAGATCCGGGTGAGTGTCCCCCCCCCCCTTTTAAACAGATACTCTCAGGCCCTCCACATGCAAGCTTTATTTGCAGAAAAAGTCGTGTCGGTGTTTCGCAGTGTCTCCGTCTCCCTCTTCCCCACCCCACTTTTGAGAGATGTCACAAAGTTTGCGGTCTTCTCGCTTACTTCAGCTCCTCCTCGCACCCTACCCCCCCCCCGCGCCGCCACCACGCGCGCACATGCAGGCACAGCTATCCAACCCTGCGCATCTATTTTCATTGCAAAAAGTAATTGCAAACTTCATCAGCTAAATTAAGATGAAACGGTGTATTATGGCTGGGTACTTAATGGCACCGAGATTCACTTTCGGAAGGAGGGAGAGAGTGTGGGGATTTAGAGAGGGGAGGGAGATGCTCCTTTAGGAGACATCCCGCTCTGAAGATGCAACAGACGGAATAAAAATGGACTCACCTTTAGCTTCCCGGTAGATATTCCAGCAGGATGGGGATGGGGAGGAGATATGAGTGCGTCCCTTCCTCGCAGCCCAGAGAGAGATCAGTTGCAGAAGCACCACCACTCCTCTCTCTCTCTCTCTCTCTCTCTCTCTCTCTCTCTCTCTCTCATCCCTCTTGTGTGTTTGCCCAGAGAGAGACTGAAAGTTACAAATTGCTGCCATTAGCTCATCAAACAGTGCCTCCCCCCAACCCCTTAGTGAACCTTGGCCATTGGCCAAGCGCCCGTCACGTGGCTCTCAATGTATCGAATTTCAGCTGGCTTTCTTGTCTCAGCCAACATTCTCTGCGCCCCCCCTCCCACATCACGCAAATCTCTGCGCGCAGGGCTTCTAGCCCCCCACCCCCGCCTCCTTGGGAAGTGCGCGGTGAGGGTAGGGAAATGTCCAATTTGACATGGTGAAAGCAGGTCCAAAGGTGGGGGGGGGGGACGCCGAGCTGGGCGAAAGGGGCAGGGAAGCCCATTAAGGCAGGATGACGGATCGCCCCTTCCTAGAGCTGGTGTGTGGGGCAGGGGGCAGTGGCCACTTCACGGGGACACTCTCTGGAAGGCAGCGACAGCCGGAGAGGCAGCGCTGCTGCTGCTGCTCTGGGGACAGAGGCGAGGAGATGGGGCGGGATCTCCCAGAGGGACCTTCTCCTCCCCACTCCCCAGCCAGCCAGCCCCATCACTCCTCTCGCATGCCTCGCCCACCCCACGATTACCTCTGGGCTGGGCCCAGCCCGCCCGCCGTAGGTAGATCCGGAGTGACTTCTCCCCCTTCCAGCTGCAATCCGAACTCCCTCGGTGCCCCCTACCCACCTAGCTATGGGGACAGAGACTTCCCCGCCCCTTCTTCTTCTTCTTTTTCCTCCTCTTCCTCGGTGTACCCAGCTTGTTTCCCAGAAGGGCATCCCTTCGGGGCTCGGCTGATGGACCCCCAGTACTCAGGTAGCCAAGAGGACATCCTCTTGGCTCAGCCCGTCAGCTCCAGAGACTCTTGGAGAGCCCAAGGGGAGGGGAGGGGTCCGCCTCGGGAGGTTGGCGGAGAGATGGAAACTTTTGAATGGATGAAAGTTCAGAGGAATCCGCCCCGAAGAAGAACAGGTGAGTTGTTGGCGAGCAGGCCCCGCTCGGATCTAATTGGATGAGTAGCTAGCGCGCGCGCAACATCACCGGATACTCCAGGTACCTCAAATTGGTAATAGAAAGTCATCTATCACGCGCGGAGATGTCTGTATCCATTGGGCGTCTGATTTCTAAGCAGCTCACGTTTGGCGATTGTAATAACTTATTCTCACGGCTAATGCGAAGGCGATTTAGCATTCTCGGAGCATAAGGATTTGAGGCAGAGCCAGAGAGAGAGAGAGAGAGAGAGAGAGAGAGAGAGAGAGAGAGCGCAATCCTTAAATAAAAAATAAACAGCGTTTTGTTATGATTTTTGTTGTATGTTAGTTTTGGCTTTAAACGGGGGTCTTAGGTCTCTCTTTGAAAGGATAACGCGAGGGGTAATTTTCCTTCAAGTTACCCACTCAGAGAGAATTTTTAACTATTTACTGTTCAGAATGGGTGCCCTCAAGCAAGCATTTGGTTAGGAATCGACTGGCGATCATGAAAACGCTGGCAACTTATTGTTTCAAAATAATATTTGTATTTCGGGGTTTTTTTTAATGCCCAGTTTTTGTTCTGAATGTGATAGATAGATGTAAAATAAAAAAAAAAATACATCCACCAAAGTACAGGCGGAAACTTTGTAACGACCTTTCAAAAGTGCTTTTGCCATTATATCGGATTAAAATCCGATAGCAGCAAACCTTACAGACTGAAGTATCGGCAGCGCACCATGGATACTAACGGGTTTCGACTGCAGCTGAAGTTAAACTTCCTGGTAAACTCTCCCCCCCGCCCCGCAAAGGAGTTACTCCCAAATAAATATGTTTAAGATATCGAATTGTTAAATGTAGCATAATTTTGACCCTCCTTCCTACACACGAAATCGTGGGAGAAGGAACCATTCAGATATTACCAGAAAGGATCAATTTCTTTCTCCCAGTCCTCCCCCCCCCCAACTTGGTCCATTTCAATCTGTCAGCGCTACACCATCCACGCCTGGCGAACTTTAACCACCCCAACACATTTAAAAATAGGTGAAATTGTCTTTTGACGAGGAGATGCGAGTTCTAGATTCTTTTGACACGGCCGTTGCCAGCAGATCTTAACACGCACGTGACCTCTTGATGCATGTGTGAATTTTGTGTATAGTGCTCGTTTGTTGCCAAATAGCAGGCTAGTCCTCATGGATTTGGGGGGCGTGGGGAGAAATTTCTGAAAGTCTGCTGAACTTCCAAACAACAGGTTGGGATCCGAAGCAAAATCTTTCACGGTCTATGTTGGATCCGCGCGCCCCTTTCTTTCTGTGGGATCACTAGGGCCTGAAAGTTTCTAAAGTCAAGCAAAGTTACAACGTGCTGGATAGAGATTTCTTTATTTAATATAGCTGTTGTTCCCAACGGGATTCTGGAGAGCTGAGCGTTTTTGTTGCTGTTTTGTGACTGGGGCTTGTTTGTTTGTTCCTCGACCAGTTTGTCCTTTCTGCGGTTATTTTGTCTTTGGGGTGGGTGGGTAATAGAATTTATACACACTCTCAGACATTCCCTCTGGGTGAGAGAAGACAAGAGAAATATGTCCCCAAGATGAAACAGAACCACGGCAGCCAGTCTCGTCCTTTCGGAGGAGGTAGACTCGGGAGTAGGGTTCTTCCAGCCCCAAACCGGGATCGGTTGTTAAGCCCTTGAACGGGAAAAGGCTGCAAGATTAAGGAATCATTAACCAAACTGGACAATGTACGACATCCCCCACCCATCAAAGAGGGCGCCCGCCCGCATTCCGACCTGGGAGACCAAACTTCCTCCAACTCCAAAGCGGAGAGCAATTGGATACTTTGATAGGCGCGCGTCTTGGTCGTCTCCCTTTCGCCGTAAACTGCGCGCGTAAAGGGAGCCCCTGAAGCCAGATATCGGAGAGAAACGGGCTACAGATTTCAGTGCCCCCGCATCCAGAAAGATTTTGGTGTGCGAACTTCTTAATGATGCATATAATCTGTGTACACACACACACACACACACACACACACACACACACACACAGAGAGAGAGAGAGAGAGAGAGAGAGAGAGAGAGAATGGAACCAATTTCTTTCCCGAACTACTATACTTTCTTTCGTTTCGCCTTGTGAAATTTATTCTGGAGGATTCCTTGTGCTCCTGAATATAATTCGATCCGAAAAGATCCAACTCTTCGTCTCCTTTTTCTCCTCCCGTGGGGCAATAAGATTAAGTTGCTTCGCGACTGGCGGTGGGGTTTACTTGCTTGTTTTATAGGGTGTTTTTTAAATGTCTAAATTAGGAATTTTTTTTTTAATTGTTTCCAAAACCATTACGAGGACATACAGACAAAAAACGTCATTTTATATAGCTGTTTTTTGGGGGTAAGGCGAAGAAGAAGAAGAAGAAGAAGAAGAAGAAGAAGAAGAAGAAGAAGAAGAAGAAGAAGAAGAAGAAGAAGAAGAAGAAGAGAAAGAATACAAAGTAATTCATTGGAAGACATCTGATTTGTGTCGAAATTTTCTAAAGCTGGTTTACACTGTGAAGTCCGAAGTTCCTCCAAGTTTTAGGGAAAGGGGGGGAGGTCGGCACGATCCTTCGCCTTTCCAGATCTGTCAGCCTTCGAGATGCGTTCTCTATTCGGGGCTTCCTATATCCCTGATAGTAGAGAGATCTCGGTTGGGGGAAATATTGTCTTCTTCTGTGGCTCTTGGGGTGGGTGGGTAGGAGGAGAATCTCTGTTTCCAAGCAGAGGAGGACTTCTCGACTTTCAAGGAGCTGGTGGTCCCCCGTGTCTGTATAATACGCTTATCATTATATATACACACACACACATATATGCATGCACACCAACAAAGGCACACCTTTTGTTTGTTGTTGCCTTTAACAATATGAACACTTTCCCCATTGTTTATCACGGAAACGGGGAAAGATAAACAAAGACAATAGAAAAGTGTGGAGGGCGTATAATTTTTAATATAGGCTGAGACCTGATCCAAAAAAACTGGCATATCTTTATGGTGCCAGCGTGTTTATTTGTGTTTAATATGACTCTTAAAAAGGGATGCATTCGTTTGTTTCCAAGCTTGGGAAAGTAAGTTACGCTAAGGAGATTCTTTTCTTCTTGTTATTTTTCTGGAGGTGGAAAACACAAATATTAAAAATGGCAGGTTTGGGGGGTTTATTAAGCTTCTGTTTTGCAAGGATAAGAAAGCCTGCCTTTGGCTGGCACGGAGGTTTGAGAAATGTCTGCGTTGGAAGTGGGGGGAATTAAATAGAGGCGCTCGAGATACCAACATATTTGGAAGAAGTCGAATTCGTGTTCCGTCTCTGCGATTTAGAAAGCTGCATAAGACAGAATGGGGCGGGGCGGGGCCAGGGGAAAAGACGTTTCGTTTCATTTCAAAGCGAAGGCCATTTTCTTCTAAAAATAATCCAGGTCTTTCAACATTGCCCTCTGCTCTGGCCCGCCACATCTATCAAAACTCTGTCCCCTTTCAAGCGAGTTCGTCCTTTCAAACCTTGGCTAACGGTTGTGTTGGCTCCTTCGGCCCAAGGCAGCTGAAGTTTAGCTCACATCCATTCCACACCTCCGAACACAAGAGGAAAAGACAAGGTTGCTTTTGTTTTGGTTTGGTTTTTTTTTAAAAAAAGAAAAACCAAAACAGTCCACCAAGCTGAAGAGACGTTTCCTTAGCTTTAGAACCTGGATGAGTTATGGTTATGGCACTGAGGGAGTTAATAGCTCCTGTTAGGGCAGCGATCCTGGTGTGTAGGAAGCAAGATAGGTAGCAAACACCGTTCAACTCTTGGGGGGTGTGGAATGCCCACACACCATCCTGCCCAATTCCTTCACTCAAGATCACCCTTCCAAACCTTCCAGATAATATGGACTCAAAATCCCACTAAACTCAGCTGCCACCGCCAGTGGTCAGAGGTGATGGGAAGGGTAGTTTGGCAACATCTTGGGGGCACCAAGTTGGGGAAGGCAACCTTGGAGCAGTCCTCCTCCTCTTCCTTCATTACATTTCTATAGCACCCTTTATTTGAGGATCACAGGGTGGCTTACAGTATAAAAGCACAAAAATGCACAACGTAACAACAAATAAAACAATGCCCCCAACACACAGTTTAGAAGGCCATAGGTTGATTAATTAGCCAAAGGCCGTGGAGAAGAGCAATATTTTTGCCTGGTGCCTTAAAATGTATGTACGTAATGAAGGTGTCAGGCGAGCCACCCTGGGGAGAGCATTCCCAAGATAAGGCCATTCTTGTGTTGCCACCCTCAAGAGCTTTTGAAGAGGCACATGAAGAAGGGCTCAGATGATGATTGCAGGGTCCAGGTCAATTAAGATGGGGAGAGCCAACCCTGGAGGTATTGTGTTATGGTATTGAGGTATCCATGTGTTCTAACACAAGATGGTTTTATTTATTTGTTTATTAAAGATATATACCTGCCTCCCATCCAGAAAGATCCTGTTGTGTTCCTCTTTTCTTGCCACCGTTCATTGGTTGCTTCTCTTTAGAGTGCATTATTTTGGCATCTTCACTCGAGGCTAGTCCACTAGAGCTCAGTCTACTCTCATCCAGCCCCCATCTCCCTTCCTGCTTGCCTTCTTACTTATCTCCCTCCTCCTGGCCTTGCAGAATTCAGCAGGGAGGACAATTCTAGAATTAGTTGAGTTGTCACTGGCTACCTGTCATTGGCTTGGGTTCCACCATAGCTGTCAACGGTTCCCTTTTTTAAAGG